TTCAATAGCTGATTTTCGTTTCGTAGCCGATTGCATTCACATGTAGCGGGAGCTTCAGCAGTATTAACTTTTAGGAATAATAATGCCAAGTCCAATTTAATTTCTGCTACTTCTACAGATAATTTACTACAGTCTTTGCAATTCATTATATAATCGCCTTCGTTCTGCTTGTGTGAACACATTTCTTTCTCATTTGCTTTTCCTTCGCTAGCATCCGAGTCGCTTCGGTTGATAGTTGTTGTTGTATTACTAGATCTGTCAAACATGTTCGAGTTAGAATTGTTAATACTGAGACTACACTGATTATCGATAGATTCATTCCGTCTTTCGGAAACAGCAGGGGTAGCAATGATTAGCTCGGCATCTTTCACTATTGCAATTCGCAATGCATCGATATTTTTCTTCAAAGAGTCAGCCACTTCGCTGCCACGAGGACCTTGAAATAAGACAGTTTTGCTTTTACAATACCAGGTTATAGACAAAGCATCGCTAGTAAATAACCAGCGTCCACCTGACGGTGATTTCCATTTACCATTTATGTTTAACTTTTCTGCGACGTAGGACTTTAATTCGCTTAAGTCGCCATTCCAGATGAGTTTGTTCTTTTGTAATTCAAAGCAATTCAAAGCAACTTGAAGTTGAATTACAAGTTTTTTTCCGGACAAATATATACCTATAAAAACACGGGTAAAACACATTTTTTTGAACCAATACCAGTAAAATTAAGGTCTAAAATTTTTTTCTCATACCATTATTTACAAAGAAACGGTTCAAAATATTTGTTTTAATTACACCGCCCGTTTTGTGGCTCCCTTTTGCAAATTTTGGGGCTCTTTTAACTGGGGGATCGGAGCAAACTGCCCCCCCCCCCCACCTCTGAGAGGCCCTGCATACTGTATCAAACCTTAACTTGTTAGAACAACCTTGTAACAAGTCTGACAATGCCATCAAGCAAGCTTGTTATAAGTTGTTAACAACCAAAATTGTTCCAAAATTGTTACAACAACTAGGAACAAGCGGTTAGCGGTGCGAACACAACTTGTCGACAGCTGGTGAACAGATTTGTAACAACTTGTTTGCAGACCATGTAACAACTTGCGCGTTTTTCGTGTGTACGAATATAGGTCCCTTTTCCCCGATTTCCCCCACTGACGAATTCTTTAAAAAGGCCCTGATTTATTTGTTAAATTTTTCGTCCTCACGAAACAAAATCCTCAAAACGCGTTTAAAATTTGAAATCGATATATAACAAAATCAGAAAAGTATAAAAGCGGACCAAATAATTTTTTAACTAGTTTTGTTTTATTACGAGCTCAATGTATAAATTATATTCATGATCATGTATGATTTTAATTTAATACGAAATACATTTTACAAATTAAATTGCAATCATGTACTGTTTAATAAACGAGCAGGAGTATTTTATTAGGTTTAAAGACACGAGCGCGCAGCGCGAGTGGCTTTAGACCTAATAAAACACGACCTGCGAGTTTATTAAACGGCTTCAAACACGACAATACAAATTCAATAGATATACCGCCTTATTAGTATTCTTTATATAAAAAATACTAATGAGGACACGACAACAATAGATACTGCCTTATTAGTATTCTTTATATAAAGAATACTAATTAGGAGTGTTTTATCAGGTTTAAAGCCACTGCACGTGACATATTATGGTTGACGTGATTGCCAATAAGCTTATGAATTATTAATGAGTGTTTGAAGTATGTTTAAATCGATCGCAAGCTTGTAAACAACGTTTGTCAAAATTGATTGCTTTTAGCTTGGAATTTGGCACAAAATTATATAAATGCCCGTCTTTCTCTTCAGAAATCCGGTACCAGTGAGGAATTTACTGTAGTTCCGGGTCGCATCATAGGGTATCTCGCTCCGAGGGGGGACAGATTTCCAAGGGGAGCACAAATCAGGTTTTCACTTGTTTCCATCTACCAAACTGACATTACGTCATTTGATCAATTTCTAAAGTTGTTTCTTTTTGGATTTTTTAATTAATTTGGTTAGGGTTAGAGTTAGGGTTGCGGTTAGGGTTAGGGGTTAGAGTAGGGGTAGGGTTTGGGCTAGTTACATAGCCATTTAACACCCCTTCAATCTTCCGAAAATAACGTCATGTCAGTTTGGTGGTTGGAAACAAGTGCTGACCCACAAATCATTGTGACACCACAAAATAAACAATCTGTGCTGGAACAACCAGTACAGTACACTCCTACAATAATTAATAATTTCACAAGTTCCATACTCATGATTTAGGCACTCACTCGTTTAAATTTTGAACTGGCGTTCCGTATTGTTCGCCAATGTGGAGAAATACATCAAGCATATATTTCAGATAAACATCCCTTTCGGTCTCTAGTTCTTTTAAATCATGCTATTTGAACAGTATATACTAATCAAATAATATATACTAGCAGTGTCATTCAGAGGCAAGGGGCAATTTGCCCCGGGCCCCCAGTTTAAGGGAAAACCTTAACTGATTTAACTCGTCTTTGTTCCGAAAATTTTTTTGATCCTTTTTTTAATGTCCGGAAAAATTTTTTTACAAATTTTTTTACACTGAGAATGTGCAAGCGTTTGGAACCTTTCGCGATTATGGCTCGAATATGTTCGTCCCATTTCAGATTATTTTGAATGGTTAGGCCTAATGCTTTGTGAGATTGGTCTATTTCTAGTTCCCGTCCTGCAATCGTTAAGGGTTGGAATTCGACGGTTCTTTTAAGGTAACATATTCCACGTTCCTTGCATTTTATTGGGTTAAGAATCATCCATTTATTAGAACACCATGACTCGATGAGGTTAAGCTAGGTTGGCTGAGTTAATGACGATATATTCCCAGTAAGGTGTTCGGAGACCGCGTTATCATCTACAAACTTCCACATTTTTATATCATGTCAGGTGAGATTATCTTGAAATCATTAACCATGACAAGGAATAAAATAGG